TCTCTCTGTTTTGATTACTCTTATACTGGAATTCCAATCTGGTGTATATTATTCATTTGATATCATCCTATTTAACTCTTAAATTTCCCTCTCTCTCCCTCTCTCTCTCCCTCTCTCTCCCTCTCTCTCTCTCTCTAAGCTTTACTGGTTTTGCTTCTCTGGAGAACCCAACCTAACACATAGAGAAATATTTTTAAAAATCAACTAATTTTCCACTTGACTAAATTATTAAAAAATAAAGCATGTGATAAAAACATGGAAATTATCCAAGATTAAAAAGAAGATAAAGAACAATTAAAATGAGAACTGCATATTAAACATACTCATTTCCATTTTTAGGACAATTATAAAAATATTATTTTTGTCCCTAGAACTCATTTAGAAAAGGATCACATATTCAGTAACAAATGGGTCCATTTCACAGTCACCACATGCTTAAATATAAACCACAAAAAATACCTATTTTGGCTATGTTGTTGTTGTTATGTGCCACTGAGTTGGACCCAACTCATTGCAACCCCTTCTTGGGTTTCTGAAGCAGTATTACTATGGAAGTAGATTGCCCCATCTTCCTTCTGAGGAGTGGCTGGTGGGTTTGAACTGCCAGCCTTTTGGTTAGCAGTCAAGTACCTGAGGCACTATGCTACCAGAGCTCCTATTTTGGCTATATAGTCTTATTTATAGAAGCAGGCCAATTTATTAATGTGATTTATGTTGCATATTTACATTTTTATTTATGTATTTTGCACATATATATGCAAAATGTGGAATATGGGTGACACAAATTTATCAGGTTTGCCATTTTATCTAGATAATTTGTTTTCTAAAAGTTGGAAAATTTATAAGTTTTATATGTGCTTAAAGGCTAATATTGTTGTTATTTTTGCCTTGAGCAATCATTATATTTTCAGAAAAACTGGAACATGATTTCTAACTGTCTTTTGATGTTTTCAATTTAAAAGGTTAATAAGATATGTGGCCAGCAAGTCAAAACACCAACACAAAGTCCCCGTTGTGCTTTTGATTGGAGAAAAGAGAAGCATGGAATGAAGATATCTATAAGAAGTGGTGAAGAGACACTTGCCAACAGAAGAAAGTAAGACATTTGTTTTACAGCCAGAAAGAAAAAAGAAAGTAAGCCATTAATTTTACAACAGAAAAGAGAGTATTTAATAAAGTGGAGTGAAATACACTATCCAAAAAAA